TGTATTCAAAGAGAGGGTTCAGCATCGTTAGTATCAACATGGATAATGAGTTCGCACCAATCAGGAGCAGCATTGAGGAGCTTGGAATAACACCAAACTTCACGGCAAGAGATGAACATGTGCCTGAAATAGAAYGTTTCATAAGGACTATCAAGGAACGTATTAGGGGAGTACAGTGTACACTTCCTTTTATACGGTTCCCGGGAAGATTAACTGTCGAACTAGTTGCAAGCCAAGTGTTCTGGTGGAATTCACTGCCTAAACCGAAAGGGATTTCCAACAGCATGAGCCCAAGAGCAATAGTGACCGGACAGGAGCTTGACTTCACTAAACATGTACAGTTGCAATTCGGGGAGTATGTTCAAACCCACGAGCCAACAGATAATGATACCTCGCATTCCCGCACGGTCGGGGCACTAGCACTGCGGCCGACCGGCAACTCCCAAGGGGGCCATTACTTCTACAGTCTCAAGACAGGCCGGGTGTTGAATAGGACACGATGCACTCGTGTCCCCATGCCTGCTGAGGTTATTGACCGCGTCCATGAACTAGCGAAGAACTACCCAGATGGACTGGTATTCCGCGATCGCAATGGGGAAGAAAYGATAGACCTAAATGAAGCAGAAGAGGGCTCACTCGAGGATGATTCCTCAACATAYATAGATGAGGAGGTTTCGGATGATGAGTTCATTGAATCCGAATACGACTCAGAGACAGACATTACAGAAGATAATGACCTGGCGGAAGAGGAGACCGRCATGATCAACCCTCCAGGAGTGCTGAGCCAGGATGATGGGCAGCCAGCAATAACGGACGGTGATCTGAATCCCGAGCTCCCAGGAGTGGAGGAGATTCCTGCGGAGGATGCGGATGCCGCGATAGATGCCAGCGGGAATGAAAATGAGGAGGAGGAACAACAGAGGGAGCCGTACAGCCTCCGTAAGCGACAAGGGAGATCATATCGTCACCTGAAAACTGTAGGATATGTGAATGTGACCAAGGGGCATAAGAGTGCAAGCGACATGGCCACCTATGCAATGGTCATACATGCGATGGTGGAGTTCAATAGGTCAGAGGAYAGATTCTACCAACAGGTTCATGAAATCCTAATGACTCAGTACGGAGTAAAGGCGGGACTAAAGATCTTCGGCGAGCGAGGCCTTGATGCAATCAGAAAAGAGTTGAAGCAGTTCCATGATCGGGGAGTAGCCAAGCCGGTTAGYGCCRCAACACTGAGTGACAAACAGCGAGCAAGAGCTCTGGCTTATCTCATGTTCCTGAAAGAAAAGCGGAGTGGAGATATAAAAGGTAGGGGATGTGCTGATGGAAGAAAGCAACGAGATTGGATGACCAAGGAAGATACCACATCTCCAACAGTCTCCGTACAGGGACTGATGCTTTCATGCATGATTGAYGCATCTGAAGGAAGGGATGTCGCTACAGCGGATATACCGGGAGCATTTCTTCAGACCGAAGACAACAGCGGAAACACTCATCTTCGACTGGATGGAGTAATGCTGGATCTACAGCGGATATACCGGGAGCATTTCTTCAGACCGAAGACAACAGCGGAAACACTCATCTTCGACTGGATGGAGTAATGCTGGATCTTCTCGTGGAGATGGAACCAACATTGTACAAGCAGCACATTAAGACCRATAAAAAAGGGAAGAAGTACTTRTATGTCGAGTGTCTCAAGGCAATATATGGGACYCTCAATGCAGCATTACTGTTCTGGATTAAGTTGAGCACTGACCTCAAGTCGTGGGGGTTCACAGTTAACCCATATGACTGGTGTGTTATGAACAAAACGGTCGAAGGSAAGCAGTGTACCATCCTCTGGCATGTTGATGATATAAAAGTATCACAYGYATCAGCRGACGTGGTAACTTCAGTACTCAACCAGATAGAYGAAAAGTACGGTAAAGTCACCCCGCTGGTACAAACCAGAGGAAAAGTGCATGAATATTTGGGCATGACCATGGATTTCTCCCAGACAGGAGTGGTAAAATTCACCATGYATGATTACATMGCCAACATGCTCAAGGARCTACCAGCSGAGTTGTTYCCGACCGGAGAATCGATAACACCAGCCGGGGATCATCTCTTTGACGTCAATGAGACGGATCCCATACTGCTTGATGCCGGGGCAAGTGCTCTGTTCCATACGAATACAGCCAAGCTATTGTTCTTGGCTAAGCGAGCCCGCCCGGACATACAGTTGCCAGTGGCATTTCTCTGCACCAGGGTAAAACATCCCGACAAGGATGACCTCAAGAAATTGAATCRGGTGATGAAGTATCTCCGTGGAACCATGGGGCTCCCATTGCTCTTAGGGATCGACGGATCCGGTGTTATGAGATGGCATGTGGATGYGGCATTTGCAGTCCATAAGGACATGCGAAGTCACACCGGAATGACAATGACCATGGGCCAGGGATCACCCTGCTCAGCATCATCGAAGCAGAAACTCAACACGAGAAGCTCCACGGAAGCTGAAATTGTTGGGGTCGATGATGAGCTGACACAGGTCCTATGGACAAGRTATTTCCTYGAKGCGCAGGGCTTCCCGCTCCARGACAACATACTATATCAGGATAATCAAAGTGCAATTAAGCTGGCCCGCAACGGAAAACGGTCCAGTGGGAAGAGGACTCGTCACATGGACATCAGATACTTCTTCATCACCGACCGAATCAATGCAAAGGAAGTGAGTGTTGARTATTGYCCAACCCTYGAGATGGTAGCGGACTACTTCACCAAACCATTGCAAGGGTCCCTATTCAGGAAATTTYGGAACCTGGTATTRGGTATCAATGAAGACGATGTTCCAGGGTATCGACAGAGTGTTAAGGAAGAGCTGGACCACAGAGAACAGCTACGAAAGGCRAAGGCACTGGAGGATGATCTTATGAAGCAACAGCAGCAGCAAGAACACGGAACAGCAGCTGCTACTGCTGATAAATAAGATCACAGGAGTGTGTTGAAGAAGAAAGAACCCGGAGGTACGACAGGCGAACCATAACGGACATCGGCGAACCAGAATCTCTAAGTACGATATATGGATATTTGGTAAATAGGAGAGATAAAAGAATGAGCGAGAGGCATCAAAGAAATTATGGAAAACAATACATCAGTGCAATCTAGTGATTCTAGAGTAATTCTCATTCTTTATAATTTTATTCAGTTAACAGTGTAATCGACACTTTAAGACTTTCTACGTTCGTCAGGTTTACGAGMACGCGTATGAATTCAGCAAAACCCTCAAGATTGTTCAGAAAAACTGAGAAGAAATATCAAGCTTTCACCGCGATACGATGCAAGTCTAATTTGTATTAATAGTAGCACCGACGAATCATTTTCTATTCTTCTTGTAGCACAATCTAAGCAGGTGCATATGAGCATTCGACTCATTACCACCGATCCAAATCCAATACTTCAAAAGGAATGTTGTAGGATCTCTGGCTCAGTTTTCAAGCCATTATTGCTGCTATTACATGTACCAGCGTGCTGCTGAATTCCAACAACTGATCATATCTGGTGGATGTGGTGATGCCTCGCGCAATAGGCAAGGCACTGCTGAAAGTGTGTAAGCATTACTGCTCAATATATTTTTGAATGGTATGAACTATACGGTTTTTCATTGTAACTGCTTGAATCAGCACTTAAAGTACTGTAATTCATAACTTGCTTTTTGCTGACATACATTGCTAGTTTAATCCAGGGTACGGAGAAGTTAGGTGAAACAGGAGAAGTCCTTATGTTTCTGCTCCTCAGCAGCATTGGATTTCCAAGTAAATCAAACGCCGTCGATCAACGGTTATGACATAAGTTACATGCACATCGGGTAAGTCTCGGAAGACGTTGTGGAATCTAAAGCAGGTATTTCAAAAGGCGAAAAGTCCACCGATGATAATGTTTGCAGGTTTCCATTACACTGTGGCACTACATTAAGCAACCAGTGCCCTTTTGGAGTCAAAATGTCGGTAAAGGGTTGAACAACATAGAGATTGATGAGTAACAAAATTCTTCTTGGTATCCAGAGTGAGTCCGAAATATTTAGAGACTCATTTTCTGTTATTCCGTTGATTTTCTAAGCTTACCTATTATATCCATTAAATCTTTTTCTCGCCCGCGGAAGAAATGGTCAGCGTCCTTCAAGACTGCTCCGGTAGTAGTATTTTCGGGCATTGTATGGACAGTGTTCATATAAGCTTCTTCGGATGTAAAATTGTCGTTTGATCCAATCATCATTAGCAATGGGAGGCCTCGTTTTCGCGCTTGATCGAGGTGGTAATCACCATTGAACATGTACAGCCAATGCCGAACGGCAAGCGGTGGTGAAATCATAACGGTTCCGATGCATTGCGGGATTTTGGCACTTGCACTCGCACTTATTATGCTCCCGTAGGAGTATCCCACCAATAAGATATATTTGGGTGGAGCGTTTTGTGGTGTCGATTCTGATGATTGTGGCGTCTTGGCGATCTGATGCTGCCCCGTCAAGAGAAAATTCGCCGCTTCTTTTACTTGATCGACTTGGCGACCCCCTCGACCAAATTGAGAACCACAGAAGTTGAACCTCATGGTTGTGATTTTCAGGCGTTGGAACCATACTATAATGGCCAGCACGACATTGTTATCCATATTGCCTCCAAGAGGACCCCATGGATGCGTACAAATCACCGCAAGATTTGATCCCATATCAGCAACTTTGGAGCTCGAACCCGATTCGGGTAGTTTGAATTTCCGTTCCTTTGCAGACTTCATGGAAGATGATGGCGACATGGTGGATATTTGTTTTCCTGATTTCATCTATGAGAGCAGCGTGCTCGTACTCTTGCTGTTCGTCGCTAATTTGGAAAGGAGTACGTGTACTACTGAATAGAAGAATGATGCTGTTGTAGAAATACTTAGCTTTAGCACGAATGAAGGACTACGTACGGCAGTAAAGCAGAGACGTAACGCAATGTACCGGTACTATTTTTACAGTATTTATGAACTGAATAAGGTTGGATATTCGATCGTCATTGGAAAAGACCCAAAAAAATCACATTCCGTTTTATCAAACCGTTGTTCTCACAAAAAACAAAAAGTATATAGATTTAAAATTAAAACACTCTTTCTCAGCCTTATTTCACCTCGTCGTACTGGCAACTGGTGTAAAAAAGTAGCACTATCAAAAAGAAAATGAATCAACATTGCCACCTATCTGACAAAGTAGCGAAAGAGATCTTCGCCAAGCTCTAGAAATAAAAATAATTAACGTACTATGGTGCGTTGGAAAATTATTTACAACGAAGCCCTGAATCTCTTTTCGCCCCTACGTACTTGGCTGGTGGGAATAATATCGTACACAGTGGAGTACAGAGTTAAAACTTGAAGCTACTTCTGTCGTATTGGTAGCAAACAAATGCAAACCGAAAGGTTTATTTTTATCTTCTAGTAATACTTCTACTTGTCATCTCACATCAAAGTATGGTATTGTTACAAAATTGATCACTGCGTTAACTCTACTGATCCCACTAACCACCCCTGAAGGTATGATCCCTCCCAATAGAAATGTTTCAGCTTCGAAATAACCCGTCTTCTCGAACAAACATGATTGTAGTGTATATTGATGTCGTTGCGGTACCTTGATTTTTTTATCATTCCGAACTGAAAGAATTCGAGCTCGGATTAGTGAGGACTATTAGGCCAAGAAGGTTTTGTAAAATCCACTTTTTATTTCTTCAATATTTTGTACATGCCATCCGGTCCACGCTCTAGCTTCTCTTGCTTGCAAAGATGTTGCAAGAACATAGCAAGTTGCTGAGGTGTTTTGGTGTACTTTACGTCGGATCCACCAGAGACATACATTTTCAGCATTTCATGAATGCGAGACAACCCTAATTGACCAAGGTTGGTCAACATCCCGTAAATGTAACTCTCGTATATCTCCATTTCTTCCTCTTCCTGAGCAAACACAGACACTGCCTGCTCACCACTTCCATCGTCGTCCAACATCGAGGACACCGTGGACTGCTCTTTGTCTCCTTGTAGCATATATTCGCGGGTTGCTAGTTCGTATTGAACAGGTGCGCCGTTTAAAAGCTTGATGACCCTGTTATTCACCCAGTATTGCATTCGTTTCTGAATAGTGTGTTCGGCGAGTCCTGTCTCATTCGATAAATCCTCGAGCGACCACTGGTTCTTATCTTCGAAGTGTGAAATGAGCGTCGCAAGAAGAGGCGCGACGGTGAACTCTCGAGTCTCTATCGCCGCCGTCCCATCGGGATTGACCTCCAGGACATCCAGTTCGAGTTGCACCGTACCAAGTTGGTTCATCCAGACAAGTCGCCGTGGATTTTTGAGCTGGCCGTACTCCGTGCTAAACTGATCTAGCTCGGTTTGGATTCGTGCGTGGTGTTTGAACTGGGTGTTCTGCAGTGTCGGCCAAAATATGTGCGAAACAATAGCGGCATCCACAACTGGATCCACTGGTTCTCTTTCTTTCATCACTGCGATCGCGCGCTGTTTTGCTTTTATTGTGTTGTGAATATTGGATATGGCACGTTTGCTGTCATCAATGTCTAAAAAAAGGAATTGAAAAAGAAATAATGGTGAGATGAGCAAATTAAAAAGACAGCTTCATTTGACAATGTCGATTTAGTAGTGATAGTCTTCTGTGTCGTTTGAGAGAAGGGGAGATATGCTTACCTTTGATCATAATTTCACAGCTCCTCATGCTAAGGTCGCCGAATCGCAATTTCAATAGTTCTAGTGTGTGGACTTCTTGATCGGTGTTGAACGAAAGGTTTCCAAGAAGTTTGTCTGCTAGCATCAGTCGGAACTCATTCACAAATAGATCCTTGCTACCATAAATGCTGACGAGCATGCTGAGAATATCGGCACTGTTGCCTTTGGTCCCGGTGGCTAAGAAGGATCCTCGCTCCTTCGAGATGGGTGGTGCTGGAGTCCAGTTCATGTCGGGCGGCTCTTCTTCATCGTCAGAATCCGCCTCCCCGTGCTCTAGTGGTCGGGCGTCTTGGCGCCGTAGCTCTTCGTATAGATCACCGCCTACCTCCGAGTCTGTCAGCGATGTAATGATGCACCGGACGGTATTTTGTCGCTGTCTCAAATACGATCGAACAGGTTCGGCCACTACTTGCAGCAATCGATCCGATGCATCGATTTCTCGAAAGACTTTTATGGTGTTGATGTACACATCAATAATCTGCGATGTGTTCGCCCCCGGGTGGTTCAACCTTTTGATAAGGGCTTCCTTCAGAGCTTTTGCCATCGATTGATGCATGTTTGTTTTTTCTAATACTTTCTTCAATTCCAGCACGGCCGGGTGCGAGTCCGGATATTCTGCTATCAATTCAAAGACTTCATCGAACCTCACCAAACAATAGCATTCGGCGACTGCAAAATCGAGTCGAGCATCCCAATCCAGCTCGAACGCCTCCTTGCCTACAAAAGCTTCTAGCCAGGGCAAAATGACGCTTTGTTTGTATTCCATGGCGTGGTCAAACATGCCCTCCTCCTCGAACTCCTTGGATATGACGTTCCTCACCCAATGCAGAATAGTTTGGTGAAGGGCTTCCCCGAGTGGGCGTTGCAACATGCCGTCGGCACGAATCCATCCCAGCGTGCGGAGGTTTCGAAAGAACGACAGTTCGTCTTCTTCCAGCTTGTGATTCGAGTCGGACTGACGATTCCGCAGGGACCGGCAGAAAAACTTGTAAAAGGCCTGGGAAAAGGTCGGGTCGGCGTACACCATGATTGCCGCTGTCATGGCCTGCCGTCTCGATTCGTTCGGGTCGGCCGAAAACGAGTAAGAAAGCTCTTGTGCGGGATCGTTGCCGTCCGCGGTTTCGTTCCATGCCTCCAATACCCGCACCAGCTTTTCGCAGCGCTGCGGGAGGTTCCACCACTCCCGCATGCCCCCATTGGCAAAGAATTCTTTCGCCGCGAGCGTCGAAGGACGCCTCCGAATGTTTTCCCTGAGCCTCTCGCAATCGCTATCGGTGACTCCCCCCGCCCGGACACCGGTCGATCCCGGTCGGAAACGCTTGAACGTGCCAGTTGTCATGATGACACCCCCAGATAATTCTTCTGATGTTGCAGGGCGACTAGTGCTTTTCTGGAAATAGTTTACCAAGCAGTACGCGTAGATGATAAGACACAATGATGTAAACACTAGTACGTGTACGAGTGCAGGAGCCGTGCTCGATCTTTAGTTCGAAGTGTGTGTACTTGTCGAGTAGTACTCGTACCTGGTACTCGTACCTCTAAACGTAATTGTACAGTAGTAACAATGCTGTGATCCGCGAAGGCTCTAATGATCCGGTACGAGAGCTCGTGCTAGTAGCTGCCGCTTGTAGCTAGCTCGCTCCGCCTCCCTTGCCTTTCTGTGCTAGCTAGCCATAGCGTAGGTAAAGGGCCCAAAAGAATTTTTCACATCTCATCCTTCGCAAAATTTGGAAGTGAATTTTGAATTTGCAATGATTATGAATCGTGTTTGATTCGAGTCACGAATCTACCCTAACAAGGGACGGACGTCATCAGCTTGTGCGGTCGAGAGCACAGGGGAACTCTTTTACCGCCACCCGCTTCCCATATCGCAACCGCACCGTAGCTCTTGTGTTCAAGCTGGAGCAGAAACACATGCATGCTTCCCTTTACCACACCGTACAGAGGCGGTAGGTAAATCCAATACAAGAAAGTTTTTGGTCTTCTACCACGACGTAAATTTTCAGCCAAAGCGTTCTCATCGAGCATCGAGTAGTCTCAGGTAAATTGAAGCGAGAAAGCAGCTACTACTGTCCAGGTTGCTTCTGTTGACGAACCATTCACAGAGAAGAACAAACATAACACAGCAACAATGACGGCACCATCGGGACTTGAACAATGGGATTTGACCTCTAAGACATCCCTCTTTTTGGATCGTCACATGATGTTTCCGCTCCTGGAATACTTGGACGGCTTGATCGAGGCCGACAAAATTTCCTATTCGTCGAAGGACGTTGCGGCTGCTCGCCTGTCTCTCTTGCGACCGACCCACATGGTCGACTATGCCGTAGATACATACAAAAGCGTCCACGGAGACTCAGCAGAAATCCCGGCAGAAATGGAAGAACAGAAAACGCAGGTCTTCAAACAACTGGAAGAACTCGAATCCGGCTGCAAGCCCCTCACAGACCTCTGCAACAACGAAGAAGAAAAGGTGTGTTTTTTCTCAAAGGTGTGGCTACGCCGTGCTGTTTCGTGTCACGAGCGGCTATCTGTTGTGTTCTGTTGCGTTTTTTCTTTCTCTCGTTTTGTACTGGACTGGCACAACAAATGCGTTAGTGCCACGCGTGTGTGGCGGGTGCTGTGCAGTTCAGAATCGGCATTTTTTTCTCCAAGTCAAAGCACTCACATTTCGCTCCATTATTTTGTGCTGTAGACAAAACTAGTTTCTAGTGGGAAATGGAGCATCGCTGCTTTGTCCCAGGAAGCTGATTTAAATATCACTCCCGAGGTATTGGAAATCTATCGCAAAACCGCGAAATTTCAATTTGAATGCGGTAATTACCAGAGAGCGAGAGATATGTTGGAGAACTACATTTCTTTGTTGGCAAAGCCTCCTGGACCGGATTCAGCAGGAGACGAGGAAATGGATGATTACAAAACCAATAGCAAACAACAAAGCAGCGACAAGAAAGAGGACGTAGGTAATCCCACTATATACTATCTGAAATCGGTCGATGCGAAGTTGTTGCAAGTATTGTGGGGACGATTGGCTTGTGAAATTCTAGTCGAGCAATGGGAGGCTGCCAGCGTAGCATTGGATGCCGTAAAGGCAGCATTGGAATCTCTTGTTTCTTCGAAGCGAATGAGTGCGATAGAGGCTCTTTCGGAACGAACCTGGCTTCTTCACTGGTCGCTCTTTGTCTACTGGAATAATTCTGCTAAGGGCGGTCTGGAACAGCTGGTTGAACTCTTTCACACAGAAAGGTACAAGCAAGCTATTACCACCAATGCCCCCCACTTGCTGCGATACCTCACTGCTGCTGTCTTGCTTTGCAAGCGCCGAATCACGAAAAAGGCCGCTGCCGGATCCACTGCGGAAGCTCGACGCCTGATGAAGAACCTAATCAACGTCATGCAGGATTGTGATTATTCGGATCCAATCGTGGAGTTCGTCAATTGCTTGTGCGTCAAATTTGACTTTGAGTCCGCACAGATCAAATTGCAGGAGTGCGAAAAGGTTTTGGACGCCGACTTTTTCCTCTGCAAGCAGACGGGCCTTTTCATGGAAGAAGCCCGTGTTTTCGTGTTTGAAAACTATTGCCGAATCCACAACAAGATCGATTTGCAAGCCTTGGGGAAGAAATTGGCGATGAATGAAGACGAGGCAGAACATTGGATCGTGGACTTGATCCGTAACGCCGATCTGGATGCCAAGATCGATTCCGAAGAGGGCTGTGTGGTCATGGGTGGAAGCGTGCAAAGTGTGTACGAACAAGTCATGGAGCGCACGCGGGACTTGAACGTGAGAAGCGCAACCATGGCACAAAATTTGAATAAACTCTTGGTCGATGCACGAAAGAACAAGGCAAAAGCTGAAGCCCTGGCTCGTGAGGAAGCGGAATAAGAAATAATAGTTCTGCTACAGAAGCCTTCCATACATCATCTGTGCGCGGTAAATGTGCAATAAATATATGAAGCAATTGACCAAAATAGTGATAGGTTTGAATTAGGCAGTGTAGGAAAACGATGTTGTGGTTTGCAATGAAGTATAAACAGTGTTGAAATGTGAATGCTATACACGTACAATGATCAATACTTCATGGGCGGCATTTGATGGATTCCACTTTCGATTTCATAGTTCTAATTTTTCAGATCGCCTCTGCTTGCAGAACGTTCCGGTCAAGAAAGGTTTAACGAAGGAAAGTGGTGATGACCCCCTCTGCTGTTTTTCCTCCTTCTGCCACAATTAAAAGAACAGAATTAACAAGAATATGAACAACAACAACAATTACTGCTGATGAGAGGTCTGAAAGAAGTACTGGTGGTACTTGCTAGCAGGTCAAGGAAAACAAGATAGACACTAAGCAATGTAAAAAGAGGCTGGATTGTTGTCATTGTTCTTCATTTTGCTTGTTGGTGTTGTTCAATAACAACAACTTAGTTTGTTCTCATCATTCTGCTCCTCCTCCTCTTCAGTATTTGTTGTAGTTGTTACTAGTAACCTACGAGTAGTAGAAATAAGAATGATGATACTAGCTAATTTTTGTTGGGCTGCTGCCAAGTCTCATAGTACAAGGAAAGAATCCCAATGAGGGAAGACAACAGGTCTGGGGCTACTACATGGCTCTAGCACAAAGAGAATCATACACCTTATTTGGGTTTGCATCTTCAACCTGTCAGGCTAATAAAAAAGAAAATATATTACGTTAAAATGTCAATTTGGAGCAGTTTCAAGCTTGTTGGTGCTTTTTCAGACACCAAAACAAAATTGATATCCAGACACTGCTGGTGGTGCTAACAAGAAGGTGGAATAAAATTGAAATTGAAATCAATTCCAAGAACAGATTTCTCTACAACAATTAAATGCTTCTTACTACTACTAACTACTGGAGAGGACTATGAAACCAATGTAGCAATTTGACCAACTGCTCCAACTGCTTCCTGAATGCCCTCAAAGACCTCATAGTAGTCATGTTGGCAGAAACTTTTTCTTCTTATACTACAGTCTTCAATCTATCTATCTCCCTCTCATATACAGTGTCCCCAGGAATTGTAATCTCATCTCCTTCCTTCAATTTTTGCAGCTGGGTCTCATCTTCTTCATCACTCAAAGCAAATTTTGGAGGGAAAAGCATATCCTTCACTTCCAATCAAAGAACAAGCACTTCTTGCTTCTTTGTTGCAGGAATCTTCTTTTGTTGCTTCCACTTGCACAATAGTTTGAGTGTGAACACTGGAACAGACTTTGCATCTTTCTCCTTGTTTAGTAGTACTATGTATATCCCCTCTGAGACACACCACTCTTCAATTACACTGGTACTAGTAGCCTTGGCATTCCAGGAGTCAGATCCTACTTTGACCTTCTTCTTCAGTGTCTCCAGTAGGCCTTTATTTTGTGGTCATTGTTGTTGTTGTTGTTGTTGTTGTTGTTGTTTGTTCCTCTTCTTGTTGCTGGTGTCAACAAACGCTGCCTACTAACCAGCAGTTCTGGACCCAATTCGTCAGCAACGTTGTAAGGCTTGTTGACTCAGGCAACTATGGCACCTAGTATGTTGGTCACATTTCCGAGGGAATGCTGGTGCTTGTTAAGTTGAGAATAGTTTCTTTTTTAATAGTGACAGCTTCCAGTGCGTGGTTCAAATTTATTATTGTTTCCCGAATAGAGCTGTGAAAATCCAAAATCCTCCTGTTAAAAAACTATCTTGGACACGTTGACGTCTCGGCCGTTACAATATCGGTTACAGTATCGGTTGTACGGTAGGTGAAGTTTGGATTCTATTGCAGTATCGAATACTGATGACGGACAGAGCATAGCGCGCCCTTGTGACCCCTGCCAAAAAGTGAGAACGATTATTACCTACTGTACTACTGTACAGTACTTCCGTACTGTAATTTGACTAAGTACGTGCTGTACCGTACTTGTGGTACAGGACACAGTCTTGTTTATTTGAAGTAGCTGTACTGTAGGTAAAGTAATAAGTGTTCTATTTATGACCCCTACCTGCTTCCAATTCGTAGTAGGTTGTGGGACCTGCCGTACTGTATCGTTCGATAAGAACTCTCTTCCATGTCATCTTTTCGATGTTTTCTACTGTAGCATGGTACAGTATCATAATAATATTTTACAGTATCTGTAAGTACAAACCCGTACGGTACCGCTACTGTCAACGTTTCGATTCGATTCAACGACAATTTGCAGTCATTCTACATTTTTCAGCTTCGTACCTGTAGAATTGATTCATCTCCACCGATCTTACCACATTGTGCGGAACAGAAAAGCTTCTCTACAACTTTTATTTTGGATACTCATCCGTCATTACTAATCCATGACATCACTTTTTGGATACTCTGCACCCTCTGCGCACGAAGAAAAAATGGAAGAAGAATCGAACGGCGACGGATCGCATCCAGCCTCTCGAGGTTCTGGAAAGGACAAAGCAACTTTTACTTCTTCCAAATGCCCCAGCGGTGCTGGTTTAGAAAACTCTTGTGAACTTCCTTTTGGATTTATGTGGTCTCCCATGGCGGCCTACAACGACCCAAGAAATTTGAAAGGCGGCGACGAAATGGCCGTTGTAAAGTGCGACGGCAATTCACTGCCACCGGTCTTGTGTGTGTCATGCCTAGCATACATGAACCCTTATGCAGAAATGGACAAAAAGTCGGGGATCTGGTCGTGTCCTCTATGTGGACACGAAAACGTAGTCCCGACGGATGAACTTTATCCAGGATCCGACATTATGACAGCGATGTCGTCTTCCTGTATCGAGTATCGCCAGGCAATATCGAAAACGAATGCGGACGACGATGAGCCCGAGAAGCAGATTGGTAGCAACGGAAAGAACTCGACGTACAACGGTCTACAAGAAAAGGAAGAAGATTACTGCACATACATATTGTTGGTGGATGAAAACCTCTCTCCGAAGGATGGTCAGGCAATTGCACCTGCGGTGGAAGCCATTTTCAAGGAGCAAATCGCAAATGCCGAAGATGGTGACGCTCATCCGAAGGCACGAATTGGTTTGGTTGTATTTGGAAAGTCTGTTTCAATATATCAGCTTGGATTTTCGGGATTAGCCTCGGCAGATGTGTACATGCCCAACGAATCGGATGCTGACAACACGGTATTCGATGCGGCTGTCGAGAAAAGGTCATATCTAGCAGAGATCCAAACAGGCGGAGAATTTACCTCTCTTCGAAACTCCTTGTCGTCTATCTTTGGTGTGTCTGTTGACGAGGAAGCCGACGAATCTGCTTCGGACTCGATTGGAATTTCTTCGCGAATGGCCATGCTATCGCAAAGGAAAGCATCTCGACTCAGAAAAAAAGAAAGCGGAGCTGATGGAGTGTCGAACGTGACTGCGAGGTCACCGTGGATGAAACGGAGCGAGGAATCGCTCTCTGAGAAGCCGAAGAGGTGCACGGCAGAAGCTCTTCAGTGTGCTCTGGAACTAGCGGATGCGTCTATCTCGAATCCTTCTAGAACATCGCGCGTCATATTATTTACGAATGGTTGTCCGAATAGCGGGACTGTGAATGTAGTCGACCCAGATGTAGCTTCTGAAAAGTTAAGAAAGAGGAACGGAAAGCGAGCTACGCATACAATTGTAGATACAGATAGGTTGCAAAAGGCTCTTGAGTATTTCGATGACTTGGGAAACATTGCGATTTCAGCTGGGATCGGCATTGATGTATTTTGTTCCGGAGTCACCGAATTGGCCTTACCTGCTTATCAAGCAATGGTCGAACCGAGTGACGGATACTGCTTGCCTTTGGTTTCTCTCGATACCCCGCAACTAAAGAAAAACTTGAAATTTGTAATCGAGAGCACATACGTGGCTCGATCTGAAGATAGTGTGTCGACCGATGATGTGAACTTTTTGGATGGTCCCGAATGCATTCTGGATATTCGGACTGACAGTTTTTTGACACCAACGCAGATGTGTGGTTCTGGGGAAATTATTCCGAGTAATACCTCCGTTATGGCGGAAAACGAGAGAACAGCGTTTGAAAAAGGCCTGAAGCTTGCAGCGGAAAAGGGATTCAAAATCAAAAACCTTCCTTCTGAGAAGGCTCATGAAATATCCATGACAAGGGTACAAATGGGTCGAGTTGACCCACTGAGTACAGTTTTTGTTCTGATGGAAGTTGACGACACATTCAATCACGAGGACGAATACGCTTTCTTTCAATTTGTAGCTCGCTATGTTTCTCCCATGGGCGACGCAGAGATAACTCGTGTTTTAAGCTTCAAAATTCTTGTTGCGGAGGATATAAACGATTTCTTGAGAAGTTTGAATGATGAAATTATGTCCGTTGCGTTGGCCAAAATCGCTGTTTACCGATCTCTTCACGGTAGGGAAGAAACAGATGATACTCGCGACATGACTGTTGCTGGAGATGTCGATTTGCAAGAGAAACTAGCCTACGCCGCGCAATTAGATATAGATGCCACAGTTCAGCGGATATCAGGAGCCTTCCGTCTTCTCGATCTGGAAAAGAATACCCGAATGCGAAGGTATGTTTACCAACTGTTCAAAAGTTGAAAAATCAATATCCTCTTCTTTCTCATTGTTACATGTCGTTTTCGTGCCTTTTGTACCAAAGCGTTTCGAAAAAGCCGATATCGCGTTCAGAAACTTCATCGTTGGACATTGCTTTCCCTCCCCAACTGAAGGAAACTTTGAATCGGCTGTATCATTTACGACGTGGTCCTTTGATCAGTCCAGGCCCTATGCGGGCTATGGATGACAGGGCTGAACAAAGGAGACTGTTTCTGCGTTTTCCTGTCAAAGATTGCTTGATCATGATGCGTCCCGAACTTTGGAGCACAGGATCTATGACGATTTCATCGGGATGGGATACAATGCTAGAGTTTCCACCGGAAACCCTTGCCTTATGGGATGATGTAAGTTTTTGTCATTCGTCTATCGATACTCGTTTATTGATCGCAATATCTCATGACATTCCAATTATATCTGTGTCTTGCAGAGTATCGTCGCTGCCGATTTCCACGACTCCATGTTCATTTGGACTGGGGCCAATTGCACTGCGCAAAGATACGATGGCATCCGTGACAAGTTCAAGGCTCACTTGTTAAAAATATCCGAGAATAGATTTCCTATGCCGGAACTGCACGAATTGTCAGACGGAGATTCCATGGGTCGTCGTTTCACTGCCCGTTTGGCACCTTCCCATGCTGATCCAATCGATAATCAGATTGTTAACTTTCCTGCGCTCTCAGAATTGAAACCAGACGCCTTAGAACAGCTTCGTTCGAAATTCAAGTTTTATGACTCAGACTCCGACGCTAGTTTTCGTACATGGTTTTGGAGTGTTGCTAGTGCTTCCAACAATAGTAAAAAGGCTGGGATGTCATTGTGCGAATAATGGATGAACGTTGTGCAAAATAATTTTAAAATCTTCTGATAACGTAATTTTGCCGAAAAGTTTTTTTTTCCTCACCATGTCAAGGGTTTCGATAAAAAAAGAATATTCTCATCGCGAATGATTTCACGGATGAGTTTTGTCCCGATGGTAGCAGCTCTCTTCACTGGTATAACATTTGTTGTCACCATATATCTTTTTATTTGAGTGTAGATGCATTAAAATCAGCGGAGAGGCAAAAATGAGATGCCAACGTATGAAAGTCAACAAGAAGAAAAAAACATTACCACGTGTATTTTGTAATGACTTACAGCTCAAAGTGCTTGCCATTAATCGCCAAATAAATTTCATCGCCTTCTACAATGTAAGAGAGGCCATCTGAATTATATGGGGTGGATTCATGAAGGCCAATAGACGGGCACTGTTTCCCTATTCCAGCAAAAATGCCGGCCTCTTTCATTTGGCTTCCACCTTCGCTTGAGTCATTTCTTATCATATCAAATGCATCAGTGGATGCTTCTACGGTGGCGGAACCAAGTCGTAGGCGCAAACTGAGTTTTTGGTAGTTACTCCACAGACATGACTGAGAAACGGTCTTATTGAATGGAGCCTTCAATGCCGGACCGATACATTGTGAGAACAATCCACCTTGCTGTTGCTGCCGTTTTTTCCTTGGAGAAACATTTTTGATTGGAATGTCCAACCGAAACAAGAAATGAACTAGCCACTGTGAATCTTCGTCTGCTAGGTATTGTTTGCAAATGCAGTCGATTGACGAAAGCTCGTTTGAACGTCGCACTTGGCGCAATAGTTCTGCTTCTTGAGGTACTGAGCTCTCGCTTCCCAGCATGTCTGCCGAGATGTTTACAAAGCTTTCATCAGTAGTGCTCCCATTGTCAAAGGATTCATTTCTTCGTTTCCAGTGGACATCAATAGTGTTGTTTGATGACGATACCGACCCATGGTCATCCTTCACAATAAGTATGGAGTCCGAAACTGCAGGCAATTCGAGGGTTTCCCGTACTTTTTGCGAGGAGACTCGCAAGATCTGAAACTGCTCTGTGGTGTTATGGGAGCTCAAAAGTATTATGGTCAACTTTGACTGAATGTCAAAGCAATTAGTGTATGCGTATAGAAATCCAGTAGAATGAAATCGTGGAAGACACATTGGTAACCACAATTCACTGGATGTTAAACCAGGCTGCCTGCTGATAAAGTTCAAAATAAGATGCAAATCTGAAACGCGCAATTGATGTGGTCGAAATGATGGCTGTACGACAGTCAATAGTTTGTCTCCAACGATCAACAGAGCAAAAGCAATATTGTTATCTATCTCCCTTGCAATCGTCTGCAATGCTTTCGAAGCCTTCTGTCGCATTCTGAATGATATTGGATAGCACGACTGAACACTCGAAACCAAAAAGGGTCCAGTATTCCCCTCTGGACCACTTTCATCAAGTATTCCACGAAGTATGTTGTCGTTTGAGCTTATAAGTGATCTCAAATCAAACCCCGGATTGTATAGAAATGTTCTCTGAATATTTGCTGTGAGCATGAAGATGAGATGTGCATAGATGTACTCCAACTGAAGCCTAGCAAAAGCTTCTGTCTGGGCCACGTCGCTGGTAGCTGCTGTGGTTTCCGAAAAATGCATTAGCGTGATCGACCCGACCGTCATGAAGACAGTGCATGTTTTTTCCGAATGGATCGATTGGATTTCTCCCAGACCAAGAGATGTTTTTTCTCCATTTATTGCGGTTCGGATTGCTTGGACAAGCCCACATATTCTCGCAACATCTCCCTGTGATCCGTAGCGGGAGAAAATTGGCTTTCCCGCCTCGCTCATGACAATGACATTGCTTCCCATATTTGTCGCGTGGCCCTTAATATATTCTTGACAATGTTCATACCAGAGAGACCCAATTGTCGGGCAATCGATACGAAACAGGAGAGATCAAAGAATAGCACCGTTTTCGCTTCAGCAGTCTATTCAAGCATCAATTCTTCCTCGATCTTTTCATTGCTTTTCAAAAGAAGTCGTCGATTCTACACAAAACAAGCAAGTATCTCGGGACGTTTGTGTACTTTCTCTGATGGTGAATTGAGAGCACATGAAAAAAACGGCAGAAGGTTGTAAAGGAAAAGTAGTTACTGTACAGTACGAGTTTCTGTACCGTACGTAATACTGTACGGTAGAGCAGGAGTACAAACAAGATGGTGGCGCCCTTTTTTTGGCTAGATGATTTCCAGATTCGACGACCTTTTTCAAATTATATCTGATTTTGAGTTTTACGAAGTTCGGTCTTTTTTTGGTCCAGCAAGAAGATGATTCTATAAAGTTGCTTAGTTGAGTTATAGATCTTGCAAAGGTAGTTGAGGTGCCAACTCAAAATTTATGTTCTCCGTAGAGTGGATGGTTGAAGCTTGGATGCTGGGGACGCTTAGTAAAGTAGAGGATCCTTCATTGGATGCTGCCTAGATTGTGTACATTTTCCAGCTACATTGATTGCTACTTCTATATTCAGAAGAGCATGATGAATAAAAGTCGTTTGGAATGAGCACCTTATTCATGAAAAGTTGCCGTATAATTTAATGTGCAGGCCTCCGTAAGATTGCTAAAACTGACAGCCATCCTAGTGGGTATAGGATTTATTTTGGTGCATTCCATTCAGTGGCTACGGATTCCGATCTATGTACTTCTTGAGGTCCTCGTCCGGCAGGACTTCCATTTGTTTCGCATTTCTGGCCTTGGCATTCTCAGTGGATTCTTCGAACCCTTTCTGAAACTCTTCGGGTATTTTCTTCAACTCGTTTGGCAAATCCCCATATTCGTTTTTCAAGTTTCCAGCAGCTGAACCCAACATGTTTCCGAGTGCCTCCGGACCGATGACAAAAGCTCCGGCTGCTAGAATAATTGCGATTTCGGGTGCACCCAATCCAAATAATCCCATAGTCTGGACATTCGCGACGGACCGCCGATGTCGGCTGAGCACATTGTTTGCAGGTCGTTGGAATAGTGAATGCTTGACTTTTTGGTCATTGGCTTGGCTCGCGAAAGATTGATCTTTCTGACTCGGTGATGCGGAGTGGATCAGTGGCATGGTGTTCTGGTGCGAGAGGAAACCACATGAAGCCAACATCAAGGTCTGTACGACAATCAAGGCGAATGATTTGGTAAGGAGTGGCATCGTTCCCGTAAATATTGCTGGTTCACTGTTTCAATCTCAAGAGGTTTATGGTGGAGCGGGGAGATTAAGTACGAGAGGTAATCTGGCATGTATCATTGAGGATCACAGGCATGTGGTGTAGTACTCGTACCATTCTTGATTTCGATTGCGTTGGTTGCACCCATGATCGTTGTAATGATTCATTCATTTCAAGCTACGAGTATTCGTACTCGGTTTTGACGCCCGTTTAAATGGTACTACCGATACGTAAGTTAAGGTTCTCCGTAGAATTTTACCTTGATGCTCAAAAAAGATCTGGCAGTAGTCCAACTTGATTGGTTGAATCACGAATCATACATCCTTTTTCCGGGTTCTATGGTCTCCAAAATCTACACGCGTTCGGAGCTTGACGTTCAAACGTATTCAAGTTCAAAGCTGTTGTTGATTGTGATTCAGTTTTATCGACTTCGTGACTTGATGCGAGACATCACAAAACCATTCTCAACAAAGACCATTCGTCCATCGCAACGAGAATACTTTGGCCACCTTTTACGAATCCAATTCACTGCACATCATGAATCGCCTTGTTAGCACGATTGCTGTCCTAGCCTCAATTCTGGCATCGACAACCGCGTTCGCGCCGTCGCTTCCTCTTGCCACCCGTACCGGAACATTTTCTCCCAACACCGCCGTAAATGAGTATCAACCAGCGAGCTTGCAACGGCAACGAAAGTCTGTCGCACAAGTTCAGACCATGGGATTATTCGGTCTAGGAGCCCCTGAGATTGGAATCGTTCTTGTTGCGGCTGCATTCTTGTTGGGACCCGATAAGTTGGCAAGCTTGGGAAAGGATGCTGGAAAGATCGCTGGAGAACTCAAGGAGGTGCCTAAGGAATTCCAAGCCGGTATGGCGGAAGGGGAAGCTTCGGCCAAGGCAATGAAAGAGAAGCAGCAAGCTGAGACAGCCGTTGTCGAAAAAGATACCACTACCGAATAAGTATCTGAATGAAGATATCTGATTCATATCGGTTGAAAATAAGGTTTACGAAATCGGAACAAAATACTATCGAAGAAGTACTGCGTAATTTCGAACCTTTACCACGCAAGAACAAACAATGATCGTAAATCATTTTGATTTTAATTTAAGTGAAGAGCACAATTAAGTTTTACAGTAATAGTCAAATTCATCATTTTTTAATTGTTGTTGTCTGCTGAGATATTTTTGGGTTACATTATTTCACATCATACTTCGCCATGAAAATATTAATGGGAGACTGAAGATATTCAATACACTTAATGCTTCTTTCCATCACACTGATGGCAGGGACAGGGACACAATGATTGGGAAACATGTTGGAATGTGCTTTGCAGCCATTGCTGTGATCACTAAGCTGAAGCTTGAGCAAGATGGAGGTCTTTATCACATTGACTTTCATGTTCAATACACATAGCAAGCCTAAACAAAATATGATGGATCTTCTCTAGTACCAACATATTGTGCGCATCAATCCATGTCTGAAATCTATTACAATAATCCTAGTATTCCTACCACTCCTACATCTTGTGCTGTTCTAGAGATCTTTGTGCAAGGATATTACTCATGGTGTTTGATTCATCCAGTATCAGTTGAAAGGTCAAAAGCTAATTTTAACATGGCATTTGTGTGTGAAGATTAAAAAAACAACAGATTTTGCCTAAATTGGACAGTCTTCTCCCCCCCTTGATTTTGAATTTTCTTCAGGATTTCTACAAGTCTCTTGTACCAGGAAGCTCAATAAATTAGTATTTTGGTCTCCAGTTTGGTCAAAATCAATTGGTTTATTCACACTTACAAAATCCTACTGGGGCCTACTTCAAGACTAGTAGCTACAAGCCAGCAGACTGGCAGCTGCTGATCCAGCTGCTCAGCAAAGTATACTGTCAATTTTTTGACAGCAAAGAAGCTACTAGCTACCGTGTACATGTACTGACTAAACAAAACAGCACTCTTTGGTCCAACAAGCAAACACCAAACGTCTACAATCAATCTCCATTGACACTACTGGAAGACCACTGGTTTGCTCTCTTGTGATGGCTTCTTGTGCTGCACTGTGGAGGTACAAAAGATATATTGTTTTAGTGTGGTGTTATTACACTGATGATATCAATAATATCCACATGAACAGTGTCCTTACCGGTACACATGGTCATTGCAAAGAACTGTATGCTGTTAATGCTATCTTTAATTATCTTTTGTTTCAAGGGCTAACCAAAATCATCTTTTTTGTAGAGCTTCTTGAGATAGCATCTCATACCTCCTCTTATGACAGTATGCTTCCCATCAAACTGGTGCTTCTGTCCCTCTTGAAATGCAACATGTCTTGAGACTTTCTTGAACCACTTTTGGCCACTGGACGGTGATTTGAAGGTTGAAGGGATCAAGCCATTCTAGAATGATGAGGTCTGAGTGAATGGGTTTGTGCATGATCATTTTGATCATGGTAAAGACCTGATCTTGATCTCTTCATCACCAGAGGAATCATCTTCATTGGTGTCCTCAAAGTCCCAAGTTCCAATAATGGTGGGATATGCACTACCCACCACAACCTGGATGTGGCTTCCATCATCAAGGGACATGTTGTTTGCAGCATCCACAAGATCATCCATGTTTGTTGCCCTAATTGCTGCAGGAACTGCTGACAAGGCTGCTTTTCCTTTGTGGAGGATGAGGGGTTGGGGGCACTGACAGGCATCCTTGCTTTGCATCTTGGTGGTGGGGAGAAGATTGGAGGTGGTGGGGAGATCACTGGAGGTGTTTTTTAAGGTAATGAGAAGACAGTTGCTCCTCATTAACAGGAAAAGTTGTGGCGATGGTTTCAGTCATCACAGCAGCAGCAGCAGCAAGAACAGAGGATGGTGTTCTTGGAACGCCATCAACAACTTACTCTTCCATTGTGTAGTTGGGTTTGATCAGCTCTTCTGCAAGAAGATTTAATTCCTTGAAGTGGTGTGAGTAACAAGAAAGTACACATTCCATGGCCAGCACTGCCCCAGCAAGAATTTGCCACTTACCTTTGCTCAATTTTAGAGTGTAGAAGTGGACTTTCAATTCTGATGTATCACTCCTTTGTAATGTCTCCAATGCTCTGTAGAACGAGATCTCTTGTTATTCCAACCTTTAGTTCCTCTGTCTTTATGTAGATCCAGTAGAATTACACTACAAGCTGCTCAATAGCCAAGCCTTTTGATACAATGTCTCTGGTAGCTGTCCTTTTCTTATTCTGCTTGTTCTTGCTCCAAGCGTCCTTGCCATTGAGCAACTGCTTGATTTGTATCAGTTATTGTTCATTGTGAGGCTGGTACTATCTATGGTATTTTGATAGTAAGGCTACTAGTGAGATATTATTTTTTCCAGTAATGTACAATTCCTGTACCACCAGTGCACCAAGAATAATCTTCTTCTTCCTTGGTTTTCACAATACTACTAGTAGTACACCGCCATGTTAAGGCAATTCCTCACGATTAAACATAATATCCAGTGCATTTGTTAGGGGAAGACCATTCCATGATGAGGATGCACTTTAAAACATATTAATAAAAAATTCATTTAGCTCATAATAAAAAAAATTATTCACTTAATAAATTTCATTGCCAGCATAATAAAATGTTATAATTGGTGACTTGACATTTTTTTAAGTTCCTCCCCAAAAATAGAAAGCGATAACACTCCCAAAACAGAGTATGGCTGGTGGTTCTTAAGAAAATGGAGGTCGTGGGCAATGATATTGTGCATCATCCATTGATTTTAGTAATACAGGGCCCTCCTTTAGTTTTTAAGGAAGACAGTCGCCAACCAAGATCAGGGTTTCCCATAGGTTTTTCCATGTTCAAACAAAGCAGAGAAACAAAGAGAGAATCGCCCAGGCAATATTATCTTTGTCTCTCTTTGTTAAAAATTGACGAATCAAAGAGAAACAAGGAGAAGCAATATTGTCTTTGTTTCTCCTTGTATGAAAGGGAATTGCCCCCATCATTTCACTACTATGTAGTAAAAATACAGAGAATACTAGTGCCCAGGTTAAGAACAACGAGAAACAAGAATGAGGAGAATATTGCCCTTTCAAACAAAGAGAAAGAAGATTCTCTTTGTTTCTTCTCCTTGTTTCGCAGGGTATACAGGAAACTATTTCATATTTTAAAAAAATTCTAACTGAGGGCCCAGGACTGGTTAAACCTTGAATTGGACGCTCTCCTGCCATCTTGTTCTTGTTGCATTGTTAATTTCTTACTTTGCAACTCATAACCTATCCCGATTTCATCAACCTCATTTCGGTTAGTTAAACAGATACGGTACAGATCGGAGATTCGATTAAAAACTCAGTTCCCCCAAATCCATTTCCCTGAATAATTATGGTACAAACTCATAACCTAATATCAGACCAGTCGTATCTCGCATCGTCAAAACCAAACCTCATCTTTCCTTCCCAAGAGAAACAAAAACTGAAGAATGAATTTTGATCCGATTACCGGGTGTTGGTAATTGCATCTAGACCCAACACAAAACTGTGTTCGATGAAAACTGGTGCTTTCCCACGAAAGGACAAAACCCTCATACAAAACATTAATCGATACAAAAAATCTAGATTGTTATCTTCGGGTTGCAAAGCAAAAGCAAAAACATTTTTCTCTGAATAAACACTAAGTACAAGACAGTGAAGATGGGGAACCGTGTGAAAGGAAAGCCGAAGCAGAAATCCATCAAGGCAGCAAGCCATTCAAAGATGGGTTCGAAACGAAAACTTTCTCGCATGGGTAAAAAACAAAAGAAGGAGAATGCCGGTTTGGAAGCAACTTTCATTGGACGCTCAAAGGCGCTCAAAATGCTTCAAGTGACAATCAAAGACTTTCGTCGTTTGTGTATTTTGAAGGGTATCTATCCGCGAGAACCAAGAGGACGAGTTCCAGGCAAAAAGAAGGGCCAGACTTTCTACCATATCAAAGATATCCGAGCTATTGCTCACGAACCTATACTGGAAAAGTTCAGAGAGTTTCGATCGTTCATGAAGAAGGTGCGTTACGGAGCCCTTCGCTATCCTTTGAGTCAACGAATCGAAAGTGGAACATAGAATAGCTCACTTTTTCTTCCTTTTTCTCCAATTTCCATCGTAGATTCGCCGCGCTGCTGGTCGCAATGAATCCGACGAAGCTGCTAGGAAAAATGCTGTGTGTCCCACCTATGCTCTACACCATCTGGTCCGCGAAAGATATCCTAGATTTGTAGACGCACTTTCGGATCTGGATGATGCTTTGACTCTTACCTACCTCTTTGCAGCTTTGCCAAGTACCACCGCTATTAAAGCCAAAATGGGAGGAAAGGCCAAGAGCTTGGCCGCAGCTTGGGGTGCTTATTGCTCTACCGCCGGTTGCATCACAAAATCATTCATTTCGGTGAAAGGTGTGTACTTAGAAGCCACTATTCGTGGGACTCCAATTCGGTGGGTCGTCCCCCATTCTTTCACACAATTCATGCCCGAGGATGTTGACTACAAGGTCATGGCAACATTTTTTGAATTCTATGAAACTCTATTGAATTTCGTCTTGTTCAAGTTATACAGCGATCTAGGAGTGCGTTATCCACTTCCTGAGATCGAATCCGGTGGCGAAGTGAAGGGAAGTACAACTTTTATTCTCGGGGCGAACTTGAGATCTCTCAATAATGCGATGGCATCGAGCGATGGAGCCATCACCAATGTAATCTCAGAAACTTTAGAAGACGACAATGCAGCAAAGCATGAGTCACGAGACAAATCGTCCGCAGAGAAAAAGAAGGATCGAGAGTTAATGAAAACTGTTGGTGTAGCGCTGGACAATATCGAGGAAGATGAAAACGAAGGCGATGATGATGAAGAAGGTGTTGATATTGCGGGTCCTCTAAAAGTTGCGTTGGAGAGTATGGAAGAAGACAAAGTTCGATCTTCAATCCCTACTGGAGATGCTGAGTTGGACGACGATGCTATTAAACGGAGACGACTTTTTGCAGGGTTTACGTTCTTCTTCTCTCGGGAGGTTCCTCGGGGTTACTTGGAACTTATCTCTCTAGCATATGGAGCCAAAGTTGGATGGGAAGGCCCGAACAGTCCAATATCTGCAAAAGACTCAAGTATTACTCATCACATTATTGACCGCCCGAAACTTTTAGGTTCTTACGACTCTTTGCCGAAGTCCAGAGAATACGTGCAGCCACAATGGATTTTGGATTGTTCAAACTTCATGTTTATATTACCTATCAACAAATATGGTGTAGGAAAAGCTCTCCCTCCGCATCTGAGCCCGTGGGTCGATAACGAAGAAGAAGGTTATAAACCTGCCTATGCCGAAGAAATCGAACGGTTGAAGAATGGTGAAACGATCGAAGAAGTTGAGATGGAAGATGACGACGTAGTTGCTGCAGATACAACTGAAAACAATGAATCAGAAGAAGCAAGTGAAGCTGATTCTGACGAAAGCGAAGATGAAAGTGACGAGGAAGTTGAAGAGAAAAAGAAGGGAGATCTGAAGAAGAAAAAGGCGCGCGCGAAGAAGAGACGAGAACAAGAAGAGAAGGAAGCCCATGAGCTTGCGAAGAGCATGATGGGTCGCAAAGCAGCCCACTTGTACGGTCGAATGCAGCACGGTATTTCTAAGAAGCAAGCCAGGATCGATGATTTGGAAAGTCGACGTCGTGAGCCATTGCAGAATAAAGAAAAAGACGAGGATGGAAAAAGTATGTTGAAGCAGAAAGTCGAGCGATTGAAACGAGAGAGGAAGGATCTTGAAGACAGGTACACAAACACTGGTGGCTCAATGAAAAAGAAGAAGAACAAGAAGAGACGGTCAGTCTAAGTAAATTTAGTACATTTTAATCTCTCATATGTAGTATTGAATGCAAGTTTCAAATTGTGATCAAAGTTTGATTGAAATTGATTTTGTCTTTCTACTTGGTTAGAAGACTATGCAATTATGTTGAACTGCGTGTTCGTAAAATTGTATACTGCAGTATTGCCCCCTTGACAGTTTTGATAGTTTTTTAGAACTGTAAAATGGAGCCAAAAATTTCTATTAGTGTTTGTGAAGAAAATGCCTTGAATTTGCCCACATGGGACCCGATTACTAGTACTCCATACTTAGTAGGATTAGTACTAGTTCTACTCTGGAATGGGATGTGGGCAAACCCCATCCATTCCAACTTGGATGTTAGTAGTAGCTAGTAGTAAAAAAATCTTAATATTTTATTTAACCTCATGGACTAGAAGAGCACTATATGGCCAGAACCATAGATTTTGGTAGAAAATATGCTTCTAGTCACACCAAGGGGTGGCACTTCCCTCTGAGGAGTTGTTGTGGAAGCACAACTGGGTTGTTTGTTGGGCTGGGAGATTAACAAGTTAGATATTTGCTCAAAGGACGAGTTTGAATGGTACGTTTGATTGCAGCAGAGGAGACCAAAGAAATCTTTGATGAAGCAGAGGATTTGTGTCATTTCTTCTTCTTGGAGTACGCATCAAAGACCAGCCCATCTTGTGTACTATGAGGAAAATGTGGAAAACACTGAGTAATAGGGCATGTGTTGGAGACAGAGGCAAGCAATGCTTTGCTGACACTTGCTAGAATTGCTTTCTTGTATACTCGGTGCTGATAGTACTATGTGAGCATGGAAGTAGGTGCAGTAGATATGAAGTTTTCCATATCTCATGGGAATAAGTGGGCATGCTGCTGCTCTTGGGTCATAGTAGTAGCAGAGTAGTTCTAATTGTCCTATTAGACCACCACTGCTTCTATCTGTCAAGAAAAGAAGCAACTGGATGCAGTACATCTATGTAGTAGGAGGATCTGGTACTCAGCAAAACAAATTAATTGGGCTTCAAAATCCACCCGATATTTCTAGTAATAATTTTTGGTGTTTGAGTACTAGAATGCCATTTTGCCCTGTTGGTTGCAGTAATAGGGATTCTATGCTTAACGTATTTTACTCTGTGCAACGGATACGTACGTACTAGAAGGATACGTACGATACGAAGCTTCGAAGAAAGGAGTGAAGGAGCATACCATTCCTACGTACCTATCGTAAGGTACTGTTCATATCTATGTATCATAGGATCCATCGTAAGAGGTCCAAGATATCGAGAGTTAGAATATCTTACGAAGAACATAGACGTCACGAGTCCGGAATAGAAGAACCTCCATGTAGATTCCCTACCAGATCTACATGAGGATCTGATCAGAACTTCAGAATTCTCGTGAACACGCTCGATAATCTTAATCTTATAATTTCAATTTTCATACACACTTAACACCTACTAAGAGTACACGTAATCTCGTGCACAATAATTACTAAGTGATTTTCGTGTATCGAAATTTAATCAACCCTTAAGAAAAACAACCAAAATTATCCCAAAATCACCACACCGACCATGGTGAAATCTTCCACACGATCATGC